TCTAAAACATGCAGGATTGTGGCCCTCGAGGACCAGGATTGGACACCCCTGCTGTAGAGACTCATGAAATGACATTTTCAGTATGTTTAACACCTCTGTGAGCTCAAAGATTCCAATCAGAGGCCGCCACTATAGCTCAACTGGTTGAGCTGGCGACTCATGTACAGGGGATATAGTCCCTGATGCAGTGGCCGTGGGTTCAAATCCTGCTCATGGCCCTTTGCTGCAGGTTCTTCTCCCCACTTTCCTGTCTCTCTCTTCACTGCCCTGTACAATAAAAGAAAAAAAGGCCAAAAAAATAACTTTAAAAAAATTCTAATCAGCTCACTTGCCCAGTCTTACTTGAAGTAGAAGCATCAAAACATGAAACACCTATTTGAAGACTTTTTGTGTAATTGTTTGGAAGCTATTAATCAATTTAAGACATGAATGCATACTTGGCAAACACACACCAACATGGGTGGGATCTCGCCGTGGTCTGAAGGCAGCTGACAGCATCTAGATGACCTCAGCCTGGTGGTGAATCCTCCAGCGAGGCTCCTCCTGAACCTCAAAGGGAGCTGCAGGGAGCTGCAGCGAGCGGCGCCTCCTGAGCGATGAGCGTCACGGCAGCGAGCTGCAGCCTCAGCAGCAGTCGGGATCCATCATCCATCACAGCTGCTGATCTACATGCACAGGCAGAAAGCACACATGCAGCGGCACACAGCATGCAGGCTGCTTTGTAAGCTGCTCCTCACCTCCTCTTTCAGGGCCACGACCATCAGTTCTGCTGCACGAGAGACCGGACCGGTACGAGTTCATGCAACTCCTGCTCTGCAGCTCACCAAGACTGAGGTGTGATCACAACATTTCACCTGCTCCAAAGACATACACATAAAAGAAAAGCATCCGGCCCTAAAGTCCAACCAGAGTTCAGTTGGTCGTCCACTGATCGGACCTGAGATGATGTAAAATTATGAAATACAACAAAATCTTAAGATGCTGATTGCAATTCTGACATTTAAACTGAGGTGGTGACGTCTCACACAGTGGAAAAGACAAAGAGAAGGAAGATTCAAGAAAAAGGTTCAGCGTGATGCCAGTTTGCTGAGTGGACGTTATGTCGTCTGCAAATAACTGGAGGTGCTCAGGTTGTTGACATGAAATTAAAATAAAAATGTAAGATAGATTTTAATGATAACTACAGGTCCTTTCAAAAGATTTATCAATGAAGGTTTTTGTGAAAAAAGTGGACAAAGCTGATCATCTCATGATGATGTGGTTCTGTCATCCAATATATCTGAAAACTCCCAGTTTAACCAGTTATCTGAAGATAATATTACACCTGGTTTATTTTGATTATATGTGTACCTCATGTCTTGGCTCAGTAATGTCGAAATGTTCGTGTGTTTTCACAATAAAAGCCTCCAAACTAAGCACTGCATGTTTTACTCTGAAGGCTCTGTGGGAAACCTCAGGTCCTGGTATGTAAGTGGATGTTAGTTTGACTCTTTTTTTTTTACTTTATTTGACAGGACAGTAGAGAGAGAGACAGGAAAGTGGGGAGAAGAATGGAGGAAGGACATGCAGCAAATGTCCATGGGCTGGATTCAAACCCACGACCGCTGCATCAGGGAACCCCAGTACCTGGGTCACCAGCTCAACCAGATGAGCTGTGGCGGCCATAGCAGCCTTTTAAACATTGTTTTAGACCCAACGCAGCGCCTCGATGGCAGCAGCCTCCCCCAGCAGCACAAGTCGTCCTGCCACTGTGCAAAAACTGTAACTCGGGGAACACGACAAACATAACAAAGAGCCAAAAAACTCCCAGCGTGATCCAGCATTCAGGGGACGCACCAGAACAACCCTGATCCACAGAAAGAGTCTGATACCTCCAGAGCTGTTTTAGAGGCATCACACACAATACGAAGCAGGTGGTTGTTGTATTTTTCCTACACAGCCGGAAAACGTTTTGCAAAGACATGCAGAAAGGCAAACCCTGCAGGCGCCACTTAGCCTTTACACTGCTTGACACGTCCACGAAGGGAGCGGCGCTGCTGCACACTGAGCCATATGGCGTCAGCGTGTACAGCATGGACATGGCAGCCCAAACACATGTAGCGATGACTTAAAACCCTTCACAGCGCTGAAGGTCAAACGATGCGTTACCAGAAAACACCGAACGGAGCTGCATGACGGCACAAATTATTAATGCTGATGAGACCAGGAGCTGACAGGCGAAGTTAAATCTAATTTGAGTCCTTGGCCTCGGAGACAGATGATCAAAAGTCTAACCTTTAACTAAGACGGTCCAGTTCAGGCTGGTGTGAACCTCATTACAATCAGGTTTACGCAGGCGGCTAAAGCAAATGAGTGCTGCTCTGAAAACTGCACCAAAAAAGTGGAATTTTTCCCAAAGGAAATATTATGGCCAACACTGAAATCCCACTCGAGGATTTAATCTAAAATAAAATAATTAGCAATTGCCCTCGAAGGCATCAGATGACATCCTCCGAAACTGACGGCACGCTTAAGCAGGGTAGAAGGTAATAAAATAAAACGTTTGATAGAATCTTTTTCAAATGTGAAAACAGGGTTCATCTTTATTCTTCATAATAAATATAGGCTTTCTCACAGTTTAACAATTACATCAAACGATTATCATACAAGCAAGGACCGTGATCCTTGATGCTGAGGATGGCAGAGCGCTGATTGGCACCGACCGCTAAGAAAAACACAGAGAGGAAGAGAGGCGGACTCGTTAGACGGAGACAGGCGGCGTTCTGGGGAAACTAGTTCAGGATTTCAGTTAAAAAAACTACGTCACAGGTTCTCAAATTCATAGTAAAATAGTGACGTTGAATAACTTTATTTCCCCTTTAAAGACGGCGGCCCCCCCTGCAGCAAACAGATCCACGCAGGCCGCCGCAGGAAGTGCTTTGGGTGAGTGTGATTGGTGCTCTACTGCCCCCTAGTGTGAGCCGGAGGAATGGTCAGGAATAAGCCGTCAAAGAAACCCAAAGTGAGTGAACTCAAAGCAAGTGTAGTAAAAAAAAAAATAGAGTGAAGCACCTAGCGTCTAGCAGCACTACACCACCATGCTCCTGTAGTGAAGTGAGCCTCCTGTGTCCATCTCCACATGTCTTCCTCCCCTCCCCCCCACCGCCACCAGAATCCAGGTCCAGGGCCTGCTCGGGTGCAGCGTGGCCTCTCCCCCGGGTGTGTTGTGCGCATCAGAGAGTCTCAGAGGATCTGTTCGGTGCTCGAGGCGGAGATGTCCAGCAGTCTCCAGGCGGCGTACGGGTTCAGCTCCTCCTGGTCTCGACACAGAGCCCAAACGTACATCATCCTGAGCACTTTGTCCTGGAGGACGAGGAAGAAATGAGTCATTTCTAAACGGTTCAGTCAATGCAAGAGGATCTATTGTGTTATGCTGGCCTGATCTCAGCCATGTGGGCTTTAATATATTTATTTGACTGCATACGTCACCCCCCATGTATTCATTCTTATTGTGTTTTTTATATTAAATCAAGCCGCTAATACCTCAAACACTGCAGGACAAAATCCATCAGTGTCCTGTGAGTTAGTCGACTCGGCAGAACCTAAAACCCCCGTCAGAGATAGTCGGTATCAACTTTCTCTGCTGCTCAGGTTTTTTCCGTCTGAGCTCACATGAAAGCTGGCATTTAATGCGTCATGTGACTCCACACAAAACAGAGTGATGCCGTGCTGCCTGCGTCACTCACAGGAACTCATTGTTATAACGGAGAGCTGCGAAGAATATACAAATATATTACGATTAATCCGATGAGTTAATACCTTTATATTCCGACTCAGTGACTCTTGGTGAAGCTGCTTATTTCTAACTTAAAGCTGCACATCAGAGCTCTGAATCTTTACGCGATGATGCTCAGGTGAAGGTAACTCGTTAAATACTCTGTGTCAAATACCTAAAACATACTTATGCATTTGCTGCATCACTGCGTGGAGGTTCCCGGTGGAAACGTGATGCGTAACGTTTGTGTTGCTGTAACTGCACGGCTTCGCTCAGTGTGATTATTAACATGCAGCTCAACAGGTTTACAGATAAGACGCATACGATCAGGTGAGAATCTGTGTTGCTCTGAGAGGTTACGGTCAGGAGAAAAATCGGACGCATCTTACAGCTGATTTAAATGACAAACTCTGAACAGAAGCTGAGCAGCATCAGTTGCCATGGTGATCTAGCAGGTTAACGAGACTAAAAACTAAGCCTCAATATACTTTTATGACCCATTAATCTCACTTCATAGGGCACCGGTTGAGACAAAAAATAATATAATGAAAGAAGAGTGTGAAAAAACAGCAAATCAAGTGTATAGGAGGAGCCAACATTATGCTCCTTATGCTCCTATTACAAACCATCTGCTCTTTTGTGCATCTTCAGGAAGTACAACCATAAATTCTTGCAAGATGCTAATGAGCATCTTTATCTATGATGTATCTACGGTCTGACTTGGCCTCGAAGTAAAGGAAGAAATCAGGATTGGCTTTAACTTCCCAAACTAGCGTTCATTTTGTGAAGTTATGTCATGAGTTTGAAAAAAAGTGGTTGATTCACTGTGCGTTACACCATGTATAACTGTGTCTGTGACCAATAAAGGCCTTGAATCCTTCCTCTCACTCCTTGACAAGATGACAAACGTGAGCCTGCTGTCTCACATCGCTGGCATTTTGAGGAGTTTTCTGCTTCTGCAGCAAACTTTTTGTTTGCTTTTATAGTATGAGTTAGTTGTTTGACCCTGATGTCCGATACGTCTCTGACCGGACGCAGTGGTAGTAAAGAGTCACAGCAGACGTCCATAAGTGCAGAGAGTGTCATTCAATGTCCAGGCATCAGGATACAGCTGATAAAATCCGAAGAACAGTACATCCACCATTAATCCTCTGGCAGTAGTCTTGCACTGGTCGCTGGGCAGCTGCCAGCCGAACAGTGGATCCTCTGACCTCTTTACTGGTCACATGCGTCCCTGAAACGCCCCGGAGGGAACGGAGCGGCTGATTTACTGCCCATAAAGCTGTCCGGGATCTAAATAAATACAGGCCTTGCCCAAACAGCTGAACATGGCTCCATTGTCTCTTCACATCCTCTTAATGCCTCATTTAAACGAGGTTCTCACACATTGGTGATGATGACAAAGTGCCAACTAAACGGTAAGTGATCTGCACTTATGTGGTGCATTTCTAACCTCAGCTGGGCTCTATAAAACGCTTTATGATGTGTTTCTCATTCACACACACAAGGGCACTTTGGGAATTGGACCACCAACCCTGCAATTAGTGGAAAACCCGCTCAGGTGGTAGAGCTCCAGCTTTGTGCTGTTTTTATTACAATATACAGCAGAGATCTGTTCTGCAGACGTTTAGGAGAAGCTTTTCCAAAAGTTTCAAAATGACTCCTGCTCACAGTCGAACTTGCAAAAAACATCCCGAATACGTTTATGCAAGTTAGTCAGAGTGCATGAGTCTTTTTTTTTTTTTACTTTTAGAGGTGCAGCAGCTGTTTTCTTGGCAGTGTGTACCGTAATTTCCGGACTATAAGCCGCTACTTTTTTCACACGCTTTGAACGCTGCGGCTTAAACAATGACGCGGCTAATTTGAGGATTTTTACGAGTTTGGCGAATTTGCCTCGAGATGAAAGTGACTCTGAGAGCAGCAACGAAAGAGAGACGGAGGAAGTGTGTGACGAAGGAATTCTGAGGCTGAAGAAGACGACTTTAGAGGAAGAGGAAGATGAAGATAGCGATCAATGACTCTTCCTGGTAGGCTGCTGTAGTTTTTATTTCCTTAACCAGCCGTGTTACAGGCACTGTTCGGAAAAAAGCAATTTGTGTATTTGTGTACGTTACTGGTACGTATTTAAATAAAAGTTTAAAAAATCTTTCTGTGTAATTATCTCATGTTACAACGTGGACACCTGCAGCTTATAGACAAGTGCGGCCTGTATATGTACAATTAATTCTTTCTTTTTCAAGTTAGTGGGTGTGGCTTATATTCAGGTGCGCTCAATAATCCGAAAACTACGGTACGTCCATTTGTGTGTTACTCACAGGGTCTCCCTCCACCACGTCTCCTTTGGTGTTCCGGATCACCATGACTAACTGAGCTTGGAACGTGATAATCAACACCGGTCCCTGGTCCATCATCTTCCCCATGGCCAGCTGGGGAGGAAAACACACAAACGCTTCAGCTGAACCAATAAATTTGACATTTTTTTTAAAGGCAGAAATCAAGAGTTAAAGAAGCTAATAGTGGCTCAAGAGATTATATGAAAAAAAACACATAAAAGTTGAGATCTGTTGAGATTTTAAACCCCCGGAGTGTCGATACTTGAAGCCTGAACGCTAATCTACAAGGAACTTACGTCGATATTGTCAATGTCCAGGATCTTGGAGTGGAACTGAAGCCCCATGGCCTTGGCTTGCTGGATTGGATGTGCGAGTTGGCTGTACGTCTACAAATCCAATAAAAGCAGGAGACAACATTATGGCTACTCGCTCAATGAAGAGCTGCCAACGTGTACGCGACTGTCAATATTAATATGTCGGTGTTAGAAGAGGAAAAACATATCCGGGAGAGAAAAGTCGTACCGCTTCGTAACACCAGTCCTTCAGGATCTCCAGCTCTCCTCTGATCATCGCCTGTGTGAAAGCAGAACAGAACAGACATAAACAAAACAAAAAACAGAAAGAAAACCTCGGAGCTACGTCTATAATCACATGTTTTACAGTGATATTTAAATTAGATATACTCCCACTTTTATGTTGTACAAAAATAAAAATAAAAACGTCTTAAAAGAGACTCTCACAAAAAAGAAAAAAAGACATTGCCTTAATTTGTTTTTCTGTGATCCATATTTAAATATAAAAAACAGCAGTTTTTACCAGATCAGACAAATTTGGAAAGAATTAATCATTCTAAAGAGACAGAAGTGATTTTATTGCTGAATGTATCTGCACAGAAAATAAAAACATCAGAAGTCATCTGGAGCCTTTCTCACATGGTGTAATCCTGCAAATGCACAGGAACATATATATTTTTTCCGATCCCTCCACAGTCGAAGTGTCCTTGGGCAAGACCCTGAACCTGAAGTTGCTCCCAATGGCAGGCAGCACCTTGCACGGCAGCTCTGTCACCATTAGTGTGTGAATGTGTATGGGGGTTTTTGGATAAAAGCGCGATATAAGCGCAGACCACTAACCATGATATCAGTATTCGCAGCTCAACATACCTCCAGTATATTGGGGATGATATCGTGTTCACACTGCTTGAGAAAGGAGTCTTTGTCAAAGGAGGGATCCGCCTTCAAAATCTCTGTTAAGACCTCGGACATCTCCGTCTTTGAAAACAGCCCACCTGTACACACATGCACGGAAAACACATGATTACTTCTACATGATTGCTTCTGAAGACAAAACAAGGTCAACAAGTACAGAAAAGACAAAGTGAAGCAAGAGAAGAAGAGCAGAAAATAAAATGTTCAGGGACAGAATGTGTCTAAAGAGCTCCATGTTTGTCTCGTTTATGGTGAAAATCAATAAACTATTTTACAGAAACTACAAAAATGGTTCCATTTACTGCACTTAACTTGCTTTATTTCCCATCCTGGACAAAGACATCATGCAGACGTCTCTCAGTATCTCAAAACTGAAAATTACCACGAAACACTCTATTAAGCGCCTTTAAGAAGAAGAAGAAAAAAAAGTCCCCATCACAGCTTGATTAGTCTGATTAATGCAGACTGTCAGGCAGACGTCTCTCACCTATTAGGTCGGTCATCTTGTCGGTGACAGCGCGGGACGCTCTGATGAAGGCGTTGTCGCTCTCGTCGTACTTCATCTTCATCTCAAAGAACCCTGCAGGTGGCACAAAGAATGAGAGCGTGTCAGGTGGTACGCGGAACCCCGGAGCCTCCGTCTCAATTCTCTCAGATCAGCAAATCCTCTCAGATTCATGGGAAGTTCATACGCGGAGGTTAGACGCCTTTATTTATTTATTTTTTAAAATCCTGTCACAAAATGAATTCCCTCAGGGTCTGCTGGTTAGACAGAGTGAGGAATGACGTAGCTAAATGCTGAAGCTCAGCAAAAAAAAAGCTGCTGAGTGATTGATGAGGCATCGTATGGCTCCAATATGTGTCCTGATAAATGAACATAAACACACGCTTGCATCTCTTCAGCACATTTGCACAGAAACACACGGAACATGAGTGTGTATTTAGCAAAGTTGGTGACGCAGCAAAACTTTCCCACTGAGCACCTTCACTCGTACGTGCTGGGAGATTTTGCACATTTCGAGGCGAACTGTTTGCACAGTCTGAGTAAATGTTTTTATCTCTTTTATAACAGGCTTGATTTGCTTCGTATTTGTCTTGTAACACTTTATTTAACTTCACTGTGGAAATCTTGTCTTAAACTTCTTGCACCTTCTGCTTCTGTGACAAAGAAAAGTTCATGAGTCTCTGCATCAACCTAAACTGCAGCTGGATTAGAAGCACGTCGTTGGTTTTTAAATCGCGAAGCCACGGATAATCAGCGAACGAAGCCACATTTTGTCAGTTCTGCTGGAGCTGCTGACGGCGTTGTTTTGCTGAGTTAAACCAGCCAAAACAGTCATCTGCTGCAGATTTATCCAGTAACTGAAAGCTGACATATCGGTCGCTCCACCAAACCCTTACTATTCCAAAAACATGCTGATGCTGGCGTAACCGCAGAGCTTCAAATGTGTTGACTTTGTGCAACGTCCTACCTGCAACCCAGGTAATTTCTCACCTGTCTAAACATTATTAATCATCAGCGTTGTTTCCTTTAACTAATGTGCATAAAATCAGCTAAATCAGGCCGGTGATGCAAATTTATAAAGACCCATTTCACGCCACCGAATCCCAAAGCAGAGCCCTCTATTAACTGCCTCCTGATTATTAGTGGAGCCTCGTGAAGTTGAGGGTCAGTAAAGTAATCACCGTCCAGGCAAAGACGTGCACACAAGTTTTAGGAGTCACTGATTTAGATTAATGCACCTCACCTCACAACAACAGCAGCATCATACATTAGATTTCTACGATCTAGCAGTTACATAGGAGGGTTACAGAACCAACTTATGAATGTTTTCACACATGAAATTGCAGATTTAAATCCTCTAATTACATTACTAACGTAAAAGGGAAAGAAATGCTGTGTAGCTCATTAAAAGACTTGTGTCCAAACAAACCAGTCTCTATAAAAATGCCTTCAAACAACAACTATATTATTATAAAGCTCTGTCCAGACATGTCACATGTAACACTGCTGCTTCATCAGTCTGTTAAATTGACAGTATTCAGTCATTCATCCTCACAGCTTCATTCAAAAACCAGAAAGCCAATGTTTGTGTTTTATGTGAGATTGTGAATAACAAGACTGAATATAAACTATGAGCATCTTATCAAACTGTCCACATAACATACAGAATAGTTTATTCCTGATTAATTCTGTCCATGTGTGATGATAATCCAACTACTACTTTACCATCAGTAAAATTAAAACATCCCTGTGACGTAGTCCAGGACTAAAGCTGAGGACGACAGCGCTACGTCGGGGATAATTCATAATCATTAAAGCATTTAATGAAGTCGGCAGCACTGCTGAAGACTCAGCTGCTGTCTAATGCTGCAGGTATTTCATAAACTCAGAGGAGAAACTTCTACAAGCAGCTGGAAGCAGCGAACTGAACCTCAGCTCTTGTTGACGTCTTGTAGGATAAAAATCATGAATTTCAGCTTTATGTTTAATCGCATTCAAGTCATTGTTATGGGCATTCCAGTAGATCTATAAGATAAATCAAAACAGGTGACTGAGAAAGGTGTTCAGTGATTCTGGGACACAAACTGTGTCTTTTGCTCTCTGTGATGTTTTTGGACCAACATTGGTGCTGAAATGTGGAAAAAGTCTAAAACAATTCACACAACTCGAAGCACCATTGCTTCTACATGCCTGTTTGTTCATGTGACTGGGCGAGGCTCATACTTCTGCCATGTGAGCAGGTGTTCAGTCAGACATGAAGCTGACATGTTCAGTCATACTAATGGAAACCAGAGCAGGTCTGACAGGTGCTTGAGTAAACACCTGAAGAAGCAGAGACAGGACGATAGAGAGGTCGGGTGTTTCTTACTGTTGAAGACCACGTTGTTGTCTTTGAAGTCCTTCCACTGCTGGTACCATTTGGAGTCCTTGTGGAGCACCACGCCCATCGCCTCCCTGCAGAACAAACAAAGTGAAGCTTTAAAGACCTCAAACTGATCGTCTCATTTACCCACAGAAGAGGAAACGTGGCTGCATTACAGAGAGAACTATTGTTAGGACCCAGCTCTCTGGGATCAGGAACAGATGTTACTGGTCAGGTAACGCAATTTATTGCTCAGTGACAAAATTTCCAACCATAAAACGGCAACAGGTGAACAGAGCTAGTGGGTGTTGCTAAATTAAAGAGCCAAATAAAACCAAACAAAGTCTAACAGAGTTGTGAAACTATCTAAACAAAACCAAAAATTCTCTAACCAAACCCACACCTAACAAAAGAAACTAATGAGTGCAAAGTGCCTCATAACACACATGACAGAGAACACAAGACGCCAGTAAACTCCTAACCGAGTTGTTTAGCTGCTACCAGGAGTTAGAGAGAACACAGAACTGAACACCAAACACAAAGACACGACGGGCATCAAGGCAAGCTGCTCACAAAACTGAATAAAACACAACAAACAGACGGAATAGTTGTAGGAATTAGCTTTCAGAAATGTTATTCCTATTTAAAAATACAGTCTCTCATCTGACTGTAGTTTGTTTTTCTCTGAGTTCTGATTAACTTGGTTTGAGACACTTTTCAGAAATAAAAATGTCAGTCTTTCGATGCTCAACCAGCTTTTTTAATCAGACAGCGTGAGGCCAAATGAGCGGTGCCAGCTGTCTCTTAATCTGAGGGGCGTTTCCCTCCTCGGTATCAGGGCGAGCAGAGGGCACTCACGTACTCGTTGGCTTCGTAGACTTTGCTGTCATCTCCTGATCCTTTAGAGGAGAACTCGGTCCTCTTCCGGAGTCTGGCAGGAGGCCGATATGGACCGGTGTGGCCCAGATCTCCGATCTCTTTCTTCACACTCTCCATACCCTAAAGACAGATTAATAAAGAGCAGACAAGGAAAAAAAAGCTTCAATATTCACTCTTATGCATCGTAACTTATTTCTAACACATTGCTCATCAAATATTCACCTCCAGTCGACTGAGAAGGTGCATTCTAGCTCTGCCTTTCACAAAACAATTGGAGATGATGCATTCATATCAAGACTTCATTTTTAAAGACATAAAAACATGCAACACATCCAGGTTTTAGTCATTCATGCATGCATGCATACCTGAGATATCGCCCTGAACGCGCCGCTCTTCCCCAACATCTCTCCGCTCTTAGAGACGTTTTCTGCAGAGCTCTTGGCTGTTTTGGCTGCTTCCTCCATTCCCTCCTTGATTTTCTTGCCAATTTCTGTACGAGTGACTTCCTCTAGTCCCTGTAAACACACACAGACAAGGATACGGATTATACGGGTTGTGTATCAACTAAAACAGCATGTCTATGATATGACAAGCAAAATAGAGAGACTTCATCTGAGTGAAATTACGTTTACCTCTTTAACCGTCTCTGAGATGTTGCCCAACTTCTTCCTGAGAACTTCTGAGGTCTTCACAGTTTCAGATTCTATATTTTTCTGGGAAAAGACAGAAAAAAATTGCATTAGAGCATTCAACCCTAACATTTTTTATACAATAACATGCATAAAGAAGCTGCATGCGTGAGCAAATCCTTACGTATTTCCGTCGAGCTTGTCTCAGTGCATCTGACTCCTCAAGCTTTTTGGCCTCTTCTCTGAACTTCTTGATGTTTTCTTTCATTTCTTTGTTCTTGTTCAGCTCCTGCTTAATGTTGTCCAAAAACTCCCCCAAGAAGCCTTTTCTGCCGCCGCCGCCCCTCTCCCCCGACAAATACCTCACCTGTAGGAGGGGAGACTGAGGCACCTTGGTGAGAGGAGACAAAAGCAATAAGGATGAATGCAGCTGATGCGTGTCTGGAGCATCAAACTTGAGTTTCTGTTCATTGTGCTGCTGAAGCAGTTAAGGCTAAAAAGACAAGTAGGAGTTATTTGCATCTTTGTCAAAGGTCAAAACAAATCTGCTGCCTAATTATTGTGAAGTTCTCTTAATCTATTATTGGTAACTTTGTGGATTTTTCTATCTAAAAGTAAACACATGCTGAAATCGCTGGATAAAAAATAAGTAGAAACTCTTGTTTCCCACAATTTTTTTGTCTTTCTTCAATATTTATTTGTAAATATATGCATATATACTTTATTTATTTATTTTATATATTCACTTATCTATTCCTTCCGTTTTTGTTTGCGTGAACATTGAACATGAAATAAAATCACACGCATATTGCTGTTCAAAAACACAGCTATTTCTTGTTGTTAAATATTCTTAAAATGTGTGTGCATGAATGTGTTTAACCTATATTTTATATATATTTCCTGTTCCTTATCATACCTTTAAGCTTATCTATTCCTTTCCTTATTTGGACAAATGAACATGAAACAAATAACTGTCCGTAAGGCTAGATAAATGTAGACATCAACGTTTTAAATGTATATAGACATATAAATGTGTATGTTTATTTCTATTCCTTTCATTTTACACATATGTCTGTGGGTTTATGTGTCTGTATAATTACATCATAAAGATGTACATATGTCCGAGCGTACACAGCTTTCTATTCTCACCCGTTACATCCTCCAACTTGTTGATATGCACAATATTCTTCCCTTTTTATCCATCCCAGATGCTACTTGAAACAGGTTTTCACATAACTGACAAACCTGACAATCACACTTGTTGTTGCTTCTTAATTTGAAAAACCAAAAGTAAGTGTTTGTTGTTTTGTTTTTTTAAATCAACAGCAACTTAAAGCAATTTCCAAACCAAAAACTTCTTTTTGCCTGTGTACCACAATAGAGCCTCCAGACAGATATACACATCAGTAAGATGCCAGGTGTTGTTACCTGTGGAGATCTTCTGAGGGACCCATGTATCCTGTAGATGTTGGGTCTGTTGGGAAGCAGCAGGTAAGAAGAAGGAAAAGCCACCAAACCTCTTCTTACACATATCTGCAGACAGACACACAAACTTCAGCTGAGTGCTCAGGAAATGACAGTCACAGTGAACTCCTGATCCGAGCACCACGGTGGTGAATGTCTGCTGCACTGAGCCTCGTTGTTGTGAAGGTACAGGTGTATGAGAGAGGCATGCCACAGGTGAGCCAGCAGCACTTCTGAATGACGAACACGCTTATAGTTGATAAACAAAACCGCTTTTAATGAAATAATGTTGTACAAAGTCCAAACTGATAGCTCACCACAGTTTAATTATAAGAATTAGCCTCCCGATGTTGTTCTGAACTCAGTGTCCAAACACCGGCTGGATATCTTCACATTCAGACAGCTAACTCACTTAGCTAAAGCTAGTTCAGCAGACTTTTTAGACAGATTTGTGAAACTCGCTGTCAGCTGTGAATCAAGCCGGTAAAGAAAACATGTCGTTTAGCTTCTCTTCTTTTTTTTCAGGGAGTTTTAGAGCTGATATTTAACAGAAACGGTCCCGAACACTCACCTGATAACACTGACACAAGGGAGTCGCCATCTTGAATGTCGTGCCAGTGACCTTCTCC